ACAATGACTAATTTGACATAAACTAGAAATAGCGCAGGAAAAACAGCTTACGTAAAGATGAACACTATCATGCACATGGTGAATTGATAACACAGGGAATAAATCTATCATCATTATTATACATGTTATTAATATTGGTTTTCTGCACCAACTGTGCTGATTTTGCAGGCATTCAAAATGATTGTGTTTTGCTTTGGTTAGGTGCCTTTTTCTTGCTTGTTCATTTAATAATCACTGAATGAGATATGATAAATGGAACTTATAGTGATAAAGCCAATTAGTAACTGGAACAAAACAGTTTGCCCCTTTAGCCTCTAATGAGGCAGTTTTATTTATACTATGGGTTTCTGGGTTTGCTTGAAAAGCCATGTGTTGTACAGGATAGAGGAAGTAGGGTTTGACCTAAGAGGCTCTGTTTGGCCTTGGGAACTAAAGCAAAGCCTTCTGGGATATGTTGCCTGTGTCATCTCATCTGTTATGATTCCCATGAACCCCCTGGTCCAGTTTATAGCAAGCTGAAGAAGAAGGCAGCTGTGTGGTTTCTAAATAAAGCCCGTGTGAAGGTTTCCTGTTCAGGCCACAGCAAAGAGGAGGATAATTTGATACTCCGGTGGATCTGGATTGCATGATACACTGTATACACACAGAAAAAGAAAATGTGCATCATGAGGGGCTTTAAATAATTATGATTTTATTATTTTTCAAAGGTTCAAATGACTAAATATCTGATGATAATTTCAGTTACAGTGAAGCACTTTCACTCTGGATTTCTGCTTCAGGGGTGCACTGGCAGATGTTTGTACAATATTAAGATATAAAAGCATCAAAATAGGACCAGCAGTAAATTAATGACTGGAAATTATTATTTTTTTACTCCTGGCCAGGTTATAATGGGGGAGTGATGCAGTAGAATATGAACTGATGACTGAGTTTTATAGCCAAAAAGGAAAGAAAACAAAAAAGAACATTAATCATGTTCATTCTTTGTCAGGCTGCAGGCCCCACACTTCATGTCCTGTGCCACTGTCTATAGTTGATAGGCTAATAAGAATAGCCTGCGTGTGTGCATATGTCTCAGAAGAGGAGTCCCTCTTCAGTAAAGACAACATAAGGTGATAAGTTGATTCTCTCTATCTGTGACAGAGCAGCTTTCTGGCTGTACAGCAGACAGGCGTTTCATCTCCGTCTGGTTCTGTGACAGCTATGGAAACCAAACGCTGCTGGGCATTTGTCCAGCACATAACTCAGCTATTTTAAACTCAACACAGCATCATACTGTAGATATTTTGTCTGAATCAAAGCTCTCCTAAACATTATTAGACAGTGTAACTGGTTGTCCACTATAGCTTCTATTCTCTTGAATGAAATCCAACTTTCTCTAGAAGCAGCATATGATGCCAAGTTGCTTCCAGCAAAATACTACAACAGCCACATCGTGTTATTTTGCTGTAACTTCTCAGCGACAGTGTTTGTTATGGAATCAGTCACAGATCAGCAGCCCCCGATGTAAATAAAGATTGGAAAAATAAAACAATGGTTCCTTTATCCATCCTTCCATCCATCCATTATCTATACCGCTTATTCCTGAATAAAGCCGGGGGGTGGTGGTGGGGGTGGGGGCTGGAGCCTATCCCAGCTGACATTGGGTGAGAATGGTTCCTTTATTCTTAACAAAAATTAAAAATAAAAATTATTCCTGAATAAGGCGGGGGGGGGGGGGTGGGGGTGGGGGCTGGAGCCTATCCCAGCTGACATTGGGTGAGAATGGTTCCTTTATTCTTAACAAAAATTAAAAATAAAAATAAAAAATTCACAACGCCTTGTAACAAATTTTTTTTGTCTAACAGGCTGACAAAACCACCGTGAAAGCTTTTTAGAGATTCCTCTGTTTTCTTTTACCAAAAACAAGCGTCACTTGACCCAGCAATGACATCCATTTTATATAGTGTTCAAAAAGGTATAGTGAGCTCTGACTGGATGTGATTACTGAGCAGCAAACTTCACAGCTCATTGTCATTCATCAACTTCCCACCACTTGCTCCCACTTTTAGTCTTCTAAAAGAGACAACTAACCTCTACACAGTAATTACAGCTTGTTTTAGTCAAACACAAGAATCACAGAGCCGAGGAGTTTGCCAAATTTAAAGTCACGGCCCGTCTCCTACCTCTGTTTACACAGGGGATAGTTACAACAAGGGTGATGGGAGTTGGGGATTAGTGAACATGAGTTCATGGTTACAGTGGCACCTATCTATGAGGAGCAGAAATAAAACCCTCAGCACCAGCTTTAATTAACAGGAGATTTGTTGTGTCCACTGTGTCCAAGTGGGGTGGCCTGTGATGCCTCAGCAGATCTGCTTTATATCATCTTGTGTCCCAGAGTCATGAATACTGTTTATGCCAGCTGGTACTAAGAGAGTCTGACTCGTTATAAGCAGACTGTGGGTGGTAGTCATTGTTTATCCTCTATAGTCTGAAAGCTAAGTCATATTCAAACTATCCCTTTCTGGTGGTTATTGAACAGTCCTCCTGTGTCCAATGAACAAGATCCCTCTGATGGCAAGTTTAGATTCATTAACATAGCAATGGTGACAGAATAAAGCAGCTATGATTGCTGTCTAATTGTCACTGTTTACACATCAATAGTCCCATTAAGTCCAGGTACAATGGTATTTAAATGCAAGGCATTCGGATGAAGTGCAGGTGTCCTCACACACAGCTTCTGTCCACATATGGGCAAATGAGGGCTGATATTGATCAAGCAGACAATCTGGTGGTTTAACAAACAACGCTGCAAAGGTCAGCTGTAAAGAAAGTTGCAGACCATGTTTAGCCTTTTGTCATGTTGTGAACAGAGCAGGAGTGCAGAGAGTGAGATTAAAAGCTGGAGAAGAAAAAAATTATCTGCAGTGTCAGCTTCAAGAAATTGGACAAGCAAGTCTGATAAAATTGGGGTTTAAATGTTATATAAAACAGTTTGTCATGCAATGTAGAATGAAACTGATAAACTACAGAACACATGGTCAGATATAGAGACAACAAGGGTGTTAGATAAACTGAGAAGGCTGCCTCCACAAACTGATGCGGCAATAGCTGATGACATGTCTAGCGAGAATAATTCTGTTTAACTTCAGCCTGCATCATCGACATCATTCATGTTACTGCCTTTACTGAAATACAAATCAAAATGTATTGGCTAAGCAGCAGTTTGTTACTGTTTAGTTAATAAATGGTTCAAGTGTGACATGTTCTTCTGCAGCGGTTGTCCAATTTGCATGTGAACTGTTTGCATGGGCACAGTTCTCACAAAGAATCACTAACCTGATGTTTTATCATATGAGTATCTGTACCACATTTTTTCTGGAAATAATATGACAAATTCTGGCCTCTGTAAGGTGCAGTTGATTTTTAATATATATACCAGAACCAACATATTGAATGCAGTGACTTAAACACCACATTTTGCTATTGCAGTTTTTGCATATTTTTTTCCACCTCATTTTAATTATTTATTAAAATGTGCATTAGTGTAAAATTTAGTTTACAGTTGTAAAAACATTAATTTCCCTCGTTATAATGCTTTGCATGTACTATACGTCTGCTTATACACATACATCTTCTCTGGAGATTATCTGCTGCTGAGATTAGTTTGAGTAATGTGGAACCACTGCTTCCTCTTTCCTCTCCTCTCATCCCTTTTCCCTCCTGACTCTCAGCCAGCAGGAGAAGGTGATGTATTGGTGGACTTATCCAGCTGCAAACTGTGGGAACCAGTGTGTGTCTAAGAGGAAAATCAGCAGCAAGAAAAAGAAGGCGCTCAGATCATTTGTTTTTCTTTATTTTGCTTTCACTGGTTGTTACACACTTTTACAAACTGTCACTGTCGTGCGACTGTTGTCGCTGTGTCCTAATCAGAGGTCATTATCACCCAGCAGAGTGCTCAGCACTGTGCCACAATAGTATTCAACAGGAGACCTGGAGGCTTAACAAACAGCGCCCAGAGAGAACCGCCTCTCTTCTTTAACCTCCCATGTGTTATCAGACATGATTGGTGAGAGCGACTGCAGCAGAGAGCATGGGAAATTGGTTTTGGAAAATTTCTTTATCTTTATAATGTCTAGTGCCATTTCTCCTCTGAATTGATGAACAAAGCGAATATGTAAAGCTGAAGTGATCATTAGCTTATCTTGGTATATGTGTCATGTCTTTGTATTAGGGTGTTTCTGCTTAATTCACTGAGTCAAGGACTAATAGCACCATTAGCAAGGTTTGCAGATGACTTGGTACCACCCATTTAGGCTAGTCCATAATAACAGCAGAGACCAGGTTAAATGAGGCAGGGCCCTGTTAGTGAGATGTTCTGCTTCATAAGGCAAAGGGGAGAGTAAACTTTTGCTCTGTCTGTGACCAGCTGCTTTGCCTCTCTTCACCTCTTTCTGCATGGACACAAGGGGAATTATCTCAGCAGACATACACAGGGTCCGTGTTGATACAGCCCCCGTTTCTGGCCTGTAAATAGCCACGCTGTCCTGTTCAAAGCCTCTCCAAAGGATTCAACTTTTTCTTGAGCAAGAACAGAACTTTTCTGAGATCAGGGTCCAGTGGTATCTAATGGGTGTGCTTCAAAATGTGTCCTAAAATGGACTTTACCGACCCTCGTGTCCTTATTAGTCCTGGAACAAGTCTGCACATCTGAGATATTATGATTTCAATTTATCTTTTTTATTATACACTGATTACACTAAACCACACAGCTACAAACTCTGTCATGTGTACCCAAAGTATTAAATTTATAATGAAAACAAATGAACCCACACACTTGCTTTACTGCAGAGATAGTAAAAGCCTCCTTTAACTAATCTGGCACCGGGGAGTAGCTGTTTGATTGTAACAAGCTGTAAAGAAACTCAGACAAGAGATGTATTCTGGGAATTCAAAGTGATATTATTTAACACATATCCTGTGTCACATGCAAAACAAATAATACAAATGAGAGTATGTAGAGTTGTGACAAGTTTTATTTCTAAATCACAGCATATAAAAAAGTGAAAAAAAACAACACATTCATTTGAAAATAAAGTGACTCTGAGTCTTTACATAAAAACAAACACGTCAGATGTAGCCAATGATATCTTTGCAGATTATGGGCTTTCGGCTGCCTGATTTCAAGAGGGCTGCAAAGTTGTAAAAGTCTGTGTCCAGCTCATTGATGCCTGAGTGGGACTGGTGGAAAAAGGGGACTTTGGCCTGTGATGCCACAGCTGGACAGGACAGACGTTTTGGAGCATTTGCAGTTCTGTTAACATGAGCTGAGTCTGTGGATCGCATCCTCACTCTGTCCTCCACGCTCTTAGAAAACCCAGCTAGTTTCTTTCTCATGTTGACAAAGAAACCTCTTCCAAGTCGATGTCTTGAAACCGTCTTCAGCTCTGTGGGCTCAGGGCAATCTGGCAAGTCCATCCAGTTCTGTATGAGGTCTGCAAAGCTGTTGTCTCCCAGAACCAGTGGGTGACGGTTGCGTCCCCTGGTCAACAACGAGTTTGTCCAGTCCTCTGGGTCACTGACTTCAAACGATGTCCACCTCTCTAGACAGGCGTCAGATGTGGATTTAGGCCGGATACGTCCACTTGGTGCTCTGTTTGTGCGGAGGCAGGCCGACGAAGACACCCGCACATTCCTTGTCCTCCTGAGAACAACGCCTTCATCCTGCCACGATCCTTCAGAGTAACCTGAATCAAACTCCAGACTCTTCTGACTGCAGGGAGAGCCCAGACTTAGTCTGAAGCTCAGGCCCAGCTGAGTGCCTGAGTCGTCACCCTCCTCCTCCTCCTCCAGAGGACTTTCCAGGAAGCAGGTGGAGTCACAGGAACTGGCTGTGCTGGCGTCAGACATCCGCAGCCGTATGCGCTGTTCTCGTTGCAATGCTCGCTGCTGACAAGCATGCGCCAGTGCAGAATGCAAAGCTAATGCCGGAGACTGGGTATTGATGGGAGCGAGGGGTTTCCTGGCTGCTGGGCAGGTCCTCCGCAGTTGTTTCAGGTCTTGCAGTGACCTCATCATGTACTGCGTCTGCTCCCGTAAGCAGTCGCCAGAGTCACGTAGGCAAAGCTGTGGACACAAAAGAAGAGGAGTCAGAAAAAGGTTTGACAGTAAATCACAGCACATCAGTACATGCAGTGATGAGAGACAGGTGACTGGAAATGCCAAAGCATAATAAGAAGAGTAAATGCAGAGTATTACAGGGACTCTGTCATGGGCACGCTCAGACTTGCTAGTGCAAAGTTTTCTTTTGACCAATGGGTGAACACCTCCTTTCTTATTGTAATCCTGAAGGCCTCCCGACCTGTTGCTCAAAGCTTCTTCATCAGACAGATTTCAACACAGAGCAAATGTACGGTGTTTGTTAATTTACTCAGCCACACCAACAACATGAGTCAACACCCTGTTTTCATTTGCTCAGGAGTGATTCAACTGAAATCCCAGACAGATGTTGGTACAGAGAGATCTGTGCCTAAACTCAGCTATAGTGACACAACTCCAGGGCCAAACATCTGCAGTATATCAAGGAGAAACTGGGGGGCCCTGGGGCTCTTGATTTAATTACAGGGGTCCTGCCTATGAACGTCACCAGTGACATATTAAGGCATATAGTACAATTATTTTGTCTGTGACTCATCATGCTTATTGATCAGAATCAGCCAGCGAGCAACGGTAGCTCACTTTCAAACACAAGCGGGGCACAGGAGATCATGTGACAGTGTGGGAGAGTTTAAGAGTAGAAATGAAGCAAAGAAAAAAAAGTCAATGTCCCATACTCTTTAACATTTAGGCATGTTTGCTCTCTGAATATGGTTTTTGCATGATTAACATTCACAAATTTTGCTTCATGTAAATGTTTTAACTGAACTGAGAACAACACTGTAAAACTCCAGTGTGATGTTGCCACAACATAAGAGACTGAGTTCACCTAGATATGTAAGCAGAATGAGGAGAAGAGACACACGGGCTAAGGCTGAAGTCAGTTCCCAGCACAAGTCAACATAACAGCACATTTCTTTACTCCAGTGGTGTCATCTCCAAAGCCACAGGACTTCTCTCTCTACATTGTCAAAGTATTTGACCTTCTGTCCCCATTTTGTTTTCATCATAACTCTGCTAGATGTTGCAAGAACTTGAGAAAGTACCTGAGAGGCATATGGTCATAACCAGAGCCAGAAACGTGATTCATAAAAAAAAAAAACTTTACAAAATGATTCACCAAATAATGATCCCAAATTGAGCTTATGTTTATATATTCATAATAAATGAATGCCCCTTTAACAGATGTCTCCATATGCTGCATATCTCTAGTGAAAGAATAATTATTTATTCCAAACAAATGTTGCGTGCAAACAAGAATTGAGGCATCTGAGCATCACTGGCCTCCAGGCTTCTACTGCAGTGATTTGGCCGCTGTATGTTTGAAAGACTAACGTCACCGGACTGACATTCTAGTCAGGTAAAAGTAAACATTGCTGTTCATAAAAAAAAACCCGCAGCCCGCATGATCAAATAATAGTCAAAAGTAACGTCGTTCAACTTTTTATACGGATGCACAAAAAAGCACATAAACTGGAAACGAACTTACCATTTCTTTTCCTTTCATCTGCAGGTTAAAGCTCAGTTTCTGCAATAAAAGTTACAGGCTACTTTTAGAACAAGATCACAAACCTAACACCTTAGTAAAAGCAGAAATCTTCATATAAAGACGAGCAACGCAGGCAGACAACACTCACTTCCAACGTGGCGTCTTCCGTCCGAAGGATATCATTCGTCCTGTAAAGAGGGACCCGTCCCGGATCGGTTCGCCGTGTTTCTGGCTCCAGCCGCTGGCCCAGAGGCAGATGTGCTAAGTGAAGACTTCAGCCTTGCTCGCCGCCTTTTACAGCTCCGCGCTCAGCAGCCAGTGAGAACGACCTGGGTCTGAATGAGCCAATCAGCGCGCAGGAAACCGAGGAGATGCAAGGAGGACGCAACCAGAGCAGCACAGGATTAAAACATGTCTGTTCTGTTTCAAAGTAGCTTAACAAGTCGTGTTAGAGAGGGCGAAATAGAACGACTGGGGGGATGTTTTTATTTTCCATTTTATTTTATTTAATAAGGTTGTTTCCTCATTTTGTCTTAACTGATTTTATTGTTTATATTGGATTTTAGCTTTTCTTTGCCTGTGTATGAAACATGCTATATAAATAACATGCCCGAACCTCTGCCTTGTTGTTTCCTCTCTCAGTCAGATAAATACCTCCCCTGTCAATCTATCTATCTATGGCACTGATTGATTTCACTTCAAGTTGTTCACTTCCATCACATTTTGATATAATTTAAGCTGGTTTTGAGTCTGGAAGCTTAAATCTTTGTGTGTGTGTCTATCCAAGATTTAATTTATTGCAATATGATGCAGAGCTGCTGACATCCCAATAATAACGATAGCTTAATATCTAAAGATATTCTATTTACTATTGTCAAAAAAGAAGAAAGAAAAACAGCATATATCCGTTTCATTTATTTATTTAGATCAACTACATTCTATGACAATGCAGGTGAGACAATTATTTAGCACACCTCTTTTGCTTAGATTGATTTACGGTTATATTGGAATATGAATTTAAAACTCTGTGCCTCCTTCTGGCTAGCTGTCCATTTAGTAAAGCATGTCCTACTGATGGTTCGGTTGTAAATCACTAAATAATCATGTAAACAACACAACTAAACGTAAACGTGATCATCTGCTCTCTAATGGAGCAATGGGCTTGTTAATCTGACAGTCGTTTGGCACTCAACTGTCCATTCACATTATTCAGTGAATGGATGCTTATGCAAATGAAACTGCTCATTACTGATGGGGAGTAATGTAGACTTGATAGCCCACTGTTCAAGTACAGATTTCTCTCCACAGCAGCTCCACATTAACACAATGGTACCTGTAGCATGTCCCAACCTGTTCCACCAATATGACCCAGTGGCACATGTGGAACACAGCTTTCGATAGCATGATGTTGGACTTCACCACATTTAGTCTCAGTCATTTTAAAACTTCACATCTGAGTGGTCATGTGATTTTTCCCAATGACAGATAAATACCAATGAGCATGAAAATAACCATGTGACAGAGTGCAGGACGCAGAGTGCCAGGCCTTCACTTTTACCAACATTATGTTTCTAAAAGAAGATTCTGTTATTAAGGATTGTTACCCGAAGAGCACATGCAGTGCACTCCACATTATGCATTAAGTACACTTGGCTGCTAATGGAAATGTGATTATTTCAATTTTCTACAGAGGCAGACCTGCATCGCTGCTCTTGTCAATGCCTAATGGATTTAACGATTGTATGAGTTGGTACTTGAACACAATCCATGTCCATTATGGTCACTGATGAATAGTTTGCTCTTTCTATTATAATACTTGATTTCATACTCATAGTGATGTGTTGTCAGTTTTTTCACATCACAGCCACAGCTTTCAACTCTGAGGCACAAAACATGTTTACATCATTATTTCTTGTTGAATCCAGCCCGACCTGTACATCACTGTTACTCACTCTTACAGGTCTTACTGAGTCGTAGCATCAGTGCATTACTAATTAATAAGCCCATACAAAATCAAAACCATCCAACCTGTCATATCAGAATACAAGGTTGTATTCTTTCACCGTGTGGTACACAAAAATAAAATGTTATAGTTACAGGTTTTCAAGCCAGATGTTCTGTGCAGAGGCTGGATGAACAACTGGTGGAGTCTTCAGACACAGAACTGCAGTGCCCTCTAGAGAAAGCACAGCTGAAGGCTTAGGAAACTGAATCCAACCATATTAAGTGGTGGTGTTCCCCCCACTTTTTCATGCACAGGATGACAATAATGGCTTGACCTACTACTTTTTTCCTTTTACAAGTATAATTAATTTGCTTTTATATGTTTGTATTTTTTTTATATAGTATATACATGTTGTTTTTATGTCTATGAATATTGTTCGTTCTTGTTCATTGCCACTGGTGTGTGTTCCTGTGATCTGTGTCTGGGTGACACTGGGTAAATCAGTTTACACTGGGAGACAACTTCCAGGTGACGCATGCCAGTGGCACATGATATCAAACTGACTGACAAAGCAGTGGTGATTAAAGCCTTGTGCAACGTTTAGGAGCAGCCAAACCTAAATGTTCTCCTTTGTGTCAAAAACAAGCTCCCATTTCACTGATTGCCTCTTTGTGTTTCTAATTTCCTGATGGTCCCCTTCTCTTTGTTCCCGACCACCAAGGTGGGAACGGCCCCAGAAAGACCTGCAGTGACATAAGACACCACTGTTGGTCCCTTAGCTTTAATGTCAGCAGTATTTTTTTCAGCAAATTCCTCTGACGTGATGGAAAACTTACAGAAACAATTCTCATCAGTTTTTTTGGAAAGTCAGTAGTTGACAACATTTAGTTAAAATGTACTATTATGTCTGAGTCAGAGTCGAAATGAACTACTAACACAGTCATACTTAACCTATAACACCTAAAATAAAAACTGAGATGAGTGAGGCTAACCAACAAGTCAGTGGCTTTTTTTTTTTTTTTTTTTTACATTAACTATTGTGTCCACTGGATGGCGACCTAAGCTCGTCTAAAGACCCGTCTTCAGAGGGAAGCTGTGTTTCAGTTCTTGGTTAAAAGATTTTTTTTTTTGTAATTTCTAATGATATTTTAATAACATTAAAAGGTTTGATGAAAAGCCTAATATATGGATCAACTTGACTTATGTTTTCCTAACATACCACATTTAGAGAATATAATCAGACACCCGTTTGTGTGCAGTTTGAGATCGATGGGATCGTGATGAGAAAAGCTTCACCTGAGATTTGGAAGGAAAGTGCACACACATTTTATTTTCTTGTTACAACAGTCACAAACCATTGTGCAAAGGACATGCAGGAGTAATAATTTTTTATGACCAAACACCATCGTGTATTTGATAGATTTGTTGCTTTTGGTTGATAATATAATGGCTGCTGACTCTCTAGCCTCCATGGATGAAAGATCCACTACTAGAACACCTTTTCTTTTATTTAAGATGGTCTAAAACAGCAAAACTAATTTTGGCACAATATTGCAATTTTGTGGAAAGTAATGATTCTAAATCCCCAGTACACCCACTATACTGATGTTTGCAATCTCAACCTCCTTTTTAACAACAGTGCAGTCAAACAAATGAAGCTGTCAGTGTACTTTGCCAAGTCCACCACAAAAATACAATATGTTGCACCAACAGCACAAACGTAACTCAGAGGAAAAAGTGCAAGAGTCAGGTTGTGTCTACTTTTATTTAAATTAAATCATATAGGACTTTTAAAGTACTTCAATATTTACCAAAACATGAACCTTTTTCTGAATTAGATTTTCATCTCATTGATAATCACTATACTGTATATTTATAGGTGCTAGGCACAAAAATGGAAGAAAACTATGATGCACAGTGCTGAAAGCATATCTAGGAATCCCTGTAAACAGAAAAAGGCAGAAACATACTACTACAAACAACTGTGCTAAAAAAGGGACAATGTTAGATACACAAATACTTTACATGTTAGAATTTTTCTCTGCATGAGAAGCAACATTTTTTAAAAACTTTTACTTTTTTTTTTATTTTATTTTTTTTTTTATTTTTGTAGGAATGTTAGATAATTGGTGCCGATTACAGATCTAATAATTGTCATGTTGACACATGCAGAACAATATGCAGTTTGACTATGACTGATTAACTTATGTAAACATTATAAAAAAGCACTATCATTTTGTCCATGCCTGTGCTTCATCTCTTAAAAAAAAACAAGCTTCATGTGATTAAAAGTTTAATAATTTGCACATCAGAATCTACAATGCATTTATATAACAGGCTTTCCTTTGCCTCATCTAGTAACTGAAAATGAAGAAAAGAAAAAAAAGAGCAAAAATACAATAATAAATGTTGATTTTGTGGTCATAGCCCAGAGAGTTAAAATATGAGCAACTGGATCAAATTCTGCATGGCTTGTCGGGATTTTAGTCTCATGGATCAAAGGTGTCTTTATAAAAAGCAGATCAAAGCAGAAATCGTGGTTGGCCAGTGCAGTCATTCATGATGTGTGCATATTCCATCTGTGGTCATCCAAACGGCTCAAGTAATCTAATGAAGCACAAAAAAATACAAGTCATTCAAACAGTCATCAGTCATTTCAAACAGGCTCTATATGTTGCGACCTGAGGGCCGAGCCAGTGCTTGAGGCATTTCTTGAAACCTACCTTGACACTCCTCAGATGGGCTTTTAGAAGAGGCCACAATCCTTCAGGTTGTTTTTGATGATGACATCAGTGACTGCATCAAACACAAACTGCACGTTCTTGGTGTCTGTGGCGCAGGTGAAATGGGTGTAGATTTCCTTGGTGTCCTTCTTCTTGTTTAGGTCCTCAAATTTGGTCTGGATGTAAGCCTGGGCCTCCTCATACTTATTAGGGCCTGAGGAAAAAGAAAAGCTAGAACAGCTCAATGAATCTGAGCTTGTGAAAAAAAAAATCTGCTGAGGCAGTCAAGTGTCATTTTCTTTATAAATGTTAGTTTAATTATGCATGATTCTGCCTTCACCACAGGCCCAGACAGGGCCCTCTCATCCATTACCATTACATGAGCCGAATGAAATCCTTCTCCATACAACTACAGTTATCAGCTATGCTCTAAAAACTCTACAATTTGGAAGTACTTCTAACTAGGGCATATAAGGGAAGTGAGTTCACTGAAAGTCCAGCCTCTGTGGATGTAAAAATATTGTTCAACAAACAACAAAAAAGATTTTAAACCTTTTTTTTAAACCTGTAATTATGTTTAGAGTAATGGATGCTTAACTCTATGACTTGAATGTATTAGTAACAAATAGGAGGCAAACTGGGGCTACACTCTGATTCAAGTACAACTTAACTGGAAACAATTAGAAGAACATGCAGCTTATCACAACAGTTTACTTTTTTATATTTCAAGGTTTCATTTGAAACCTTTGAAACTGAGTTTTGCATTTTTATCAAGGAAGTTGTTTTTGATATGATAAAGACAGGGGGAAAAGAGGTAGCTCTGTGAATCAGCTAGTGCTGGCCTGTGTTTGTATAGACAAATGTTCACACTGTACCAGTGTACTCAGGGAAGCAGATGGTCAGAGGGCTGTGGGTGATCTTTTCCTCGAACAGGTCCTTCTTGTTGAGGAAGAGAATGATGGACGTCTCAGTGAACCACTTGTTGTTGCAGATTGAGTCAAACAGCTTCATGCTCTCATGCATCCGGTTCTGGGTGGGAAGGGCCACAAATATGGAGATAAAGAGATTATTAGAAAGCACAACTAAGACACATAAGGGAAGTGAGTTCACTGAAAGTCCAGCCTCTTTCTCCATTTAAAATAGTCTTGGGAAGAGCCTTTACTCTAAAATGAATGTGAAGCTATTGTTTTTAAATTAAAGGAGAAGAATCTTAACTCACCATCTCCTCATCCTCAGCCAGGACCAGGTCGTAAGCGCTCATGGCTACACAGAAGATGATGGCTGTGACTCCCTCAAAGCAGTGGATCCACTTCTTTCTTTCAGACCGCTGGCCTCCAACGTCAAACATCCTGCGCAGACACACATAGTGCAAACATGCTGTTTTTATGACAAAGTAGATGGACTGAGTGCAGGACAAGCATTTGTTACAAACTCACTGACAGATGCGTTAAGCAGGTCTCTCTGGAAAATGTTCTGTATATTCTCTCTCTCCCTCTTTTCTGTGGATACATCTGAGCCTCTTCCGTTCTTCAGAGCAGGATAGTCGCCGTGCAGGCCCTGTCATTTTACTGGCATTTGTTGGCATTTTAGCACAGTGCAGTTGCTGTGGTAACAGGAGGCCTTAAGACAGCTTGAGGCATGGCAGCAGAAGGTTTTTCATTCAGATTCAATATGACTTATTCATGAAGATGTTGGGTACCTAGATGGCTGAGAGAGGATGCTCATCTGGCCCGTGCCTGACTGAACATCTAAAAGTGAGATCTTCAGCTGGCAGCTAAAGCTAGAGCACAACCATCTGTAGCATCTCAGTGATTTTTTTTTTTCATGACGCTTCATCCTCCTGCTGAGCAGTTTTCACTTTGCAAAATTTGGCAAAAGCAGCAGCAGAACTTTGCCTGTCAGACTGCCAGTTTTAGGCTGAGCAAGAAGAGCTCATTGTAACAGTGACACACTTTAGACTGTTTACCTCAGTGTGTTTATCTCCAGCATCGCTTACATTGCTGTAGGTAACACAGGCGGGTTGGATTTGGTTTGACTTGCACAAAAAGTATAAACTATGTTCATAAATATGAAATTTCAATATTACACACAGACACACACTATGCACAGAAACGCACACACAACAACTCCACAATTGGAAAACAAATGCTTTCCTTTCTCTGAATTTTATTGACTTTCCAAAAGGCTAAGGGAAATAGTTTCCTGGTAAACACATATTTTTAGTAAAAACAAAACTCATAAGCACATTTAACACTGCTTAATTTTCCTCAGCTGGACTTCTTCATCCTTTTGACAGTCCGTGTCAAAATACAGTCAAAAACTCTGCATCAACCACTCATGTATGCTTAAGATACACAATTTTGAAATACTGTGATACAGTAAGAAAGAACTGACATCAAAATGGGTTCAACAGCTCTTCTTACGAGTTGTGTTATTCCTCTGATGCATTTATAATTATCCTTACTGCGTATATCCTCAATTAAAACAAAAATGCATTGAGCTGAGCCTGAAAGATCCACATCCTCTCTGATCAGTTTAGTTTCTAGATTGTTGTCTAAATAACAGCATCACTCATTAAAGAGCCCACGGCATTCTAATTTCCAGTGGATGTCGGGCAAGCTCACATGAACGCACAACGGCCTGGATTTATGCCCATTCAAGGAAAATTCTTAAACTATCACATAATGCTTAGTTAGAAAAAAAGTCTCATGAGCGAGAGTTTACAAGACATGTATAAATCAAGTTACTTCTGCACATGTATGTAGACCTCATTTTTGAGCTTCAGGTCACGTCTAATATGATAATTCACCATTGTAACATTGTAGATAAGTCAAAAACAAGGAAAAGCATGCCATGAGCCATGAGTACGTATATGGCTTTCACTGTGTACTGTTATTTCACAGCTGCTGCTTCTTTTCATACGAGTACATTAACGGAAGCAGTTGCTAATGTGGTGAAGATGGCCCAGCTTGGCTATTATATACAGAACCTCACTGGCTCAAGGGAAACTCAGATAATGAATCAGTCAGTTAATGCAGGTCAAATACGTTTGTTGCTTCACCTTTTGAGTAGCTTTTCACAAAATGAACTTAAGCAGTTGGGAAAAACGGTAAAAAAAGGTCTTACTTGAAGTGCAGCTCTTTGAAGGTGAAATGTGTTTCCACAATGCCAGTGGTCTTAACTCGAGTCCGTAGCACATCTTGTTGTGTGGGGATGTAATCTGGCTTGCCTATCCTCTCCAGGTCATTTAGGTAGCTGATAGGAAGACACACACACACACAACACAAGATTGGTGTCCTCTACCCTCACAAAGGGCAACGATGCACATGCACCAATATCAGTATCAGGTATCTGTGTGATACCTTCTGGTAATTGTAATCGCAAATGCAGTTTGATACTATGCACCAATACCAATTAATGGCAACAGTACATTAACCTCATGCTGTATGACCAGGTCATTAGGGGGTGGAGAAGAAATTTCACTGGTTCAAGGATATTCTAAGATAAGTAACAACAAAGTAAAGCCAACTGTGAGCTTTGCTTCTCTGCTCTGCTGTGTGTGTGTGTGGGTCTATGAATGTCCCTCCCTGTCAACACAGTCCGGTTCAAATTTATGGTCAGATTACATGGGGAATCAATGTGCTGCCACACAACAACACAAGACTTTCTTTTCCTCTGCTCACTCCATGGAAATCATGGCAAGGAGCACTTGTAGGGTAAAAATGCCCCATGTGATCCTCAACAGTAGTCTGAAAATGATGTTATATGGTAAGGGATGCAAACACCGAATCCTGCGAATTGACACCGAACCGTTTCTCCAAATGCTGACACACAGAAGATAGTGACTTCTGGTTAAATCATCCGATATGGCTTTGGAGGCAGTGAACAGTGCAGACAGCCACAAATAGCACACAATTCATTTCAGATTCTTTCAATTTATCAGTTTTCTCTTAGTGTGGATGAACATACAAGGATAGCTTTGATGTATTTCAATTTAATTTGTGGAAATTCTGCTTTAGTTTGAGAACTCTGTGTTATCATCTAATACTGCATTGCTTTAATTCATTTTGAAAGATTAAAAATGTGGGGTGTCGCTGTCTGTGTGTGAGAGATCGCATGCGAACATGGCCAAATAAAGCAATTTGATTTTTCAGGCCAGCATGCATATAGTCTGATAAAAGCACTAAATACAAAATCACAATCAAATTTTATGCAGATTATGTTACCATGGGAGAGTCCACACATCAGATATTGTAACATTGCATATAAGCTATTGGGCTTATAAGCCTTGAAGAGTAATTGAGTTTGGTTGGCTTACACTCTAAGAAAAGGTGCTCAAATACAGTTACACAAACTCATCAAATGCAAAATGGTGGTGGTTTTAAGGTTCTACCAGAGCTGCAAAACCTCACAATGTTTATTTTAGTCCACTGGAGTAAACAGTTTGTTAGTAAGAAACCACATTAGGGTTTTACTGTCACTAAGTGAAAATGTTAGGTTAACCTGACAGATGCATCCAGATCCAGTGCACAGTACATTTCCCTTTCTTTCAAACACAGAGGGTGAGAGAAGGGAGATCTCCGTTAATGTGAGCTGTACCATCTCAGTCTCCCTTTTGTTTCCCCTTCCCGTCGCTGCCTCTCAGCAGGTGATCAGACATGGATTATAGTCTAGTGCTGGATTCTCTTACAGCAACCAAATCTCTCAGGGCTCTGCAAGTCACGATGAAACTCTATATCATACACTCTCTGGCAGAGGTGGAAAGTAACTGTACATAAGGATAATAATAATCACCTTTATTGGCCAAGTATGTTATACACAAGAAACTTTGTTCCGGTACAGAATTACAATTTTGAGGTTTCTGTACTTGAGAATTTTCATTTTCTGCTACTTCATACTTTGAATTCACTACATTTCAGAAAAAAACATTGTACTTTGTACTAACTACATGTATTTGGTAACTACAGTTATTTTTCAGAAATAGGTTAATAAAATAAAACATACAGTGCCTTGCGAAAGTATTCGGCCCCCTTGAACTTTGCAACCTTTTGCCACATTTCAGGCTTCAAACATAAAGATATAAAACTGTAATTTTTTGTGAAGAATCAATCAACAACAAGTGGGACACAATCATGAAGTGGAACGAAATTTATTGGATATTTCAAACTTTTTTAACAAATAAAAAGCGCAGAGAGCATCATGAAGAACAAGGAACACACCAGGCAGGTCCGAGATACTGTTGTGGAGAAGTTTAAAGCCGGATTTGGATACAAAAAGATTTCCCAAGCTTTAAACATCCCAAGGAGCACTGTGCAAGTGATAATATTGAAATGGAAGGAGTATCAGACCACTGCAAATCTACCAAGACCTGGCCGTCCCTCTAAACTTTCAGCTCATACAAGGAGAAGACTGATCAGAGATGCAGCCAAGCGGCCCATGATCACTCTGGATGAACTGCAGAGATCTACAGCTGAGGTGGGAGACTCTGTCCATAGGACAACAATCAGTCGTATACTGCACAAATCTGGCCTTTATGGAAGAGTGGCAAGAAGAAAGCCATTTCTTAAAGATATCCATAAAAAGTGTTGTTTAAAGTTTGCCACAAGCCACCTGGGAGACGCACCAAACATGTGGAAGAAGGTGCTCTGGTCAGATGAAACCAAAATCGAACTTTTTGGCAACAATGCAAAACGTTATGTTTGGCGTAAAAGCAACACAGCTCATCACCTTGAACACACCATCCCCACTGTCAAACATGGTGGTGGCAGCATCATGGTTTGGGCCTGCTTTTCTTCAGCAGGGACAGGGAAGATGGTTAAAATTGATGGGAAGATGGATGGAGCCAAATACAGGACCATTCTGGAAGGAAACCTGATGGAGTCTGCAAAAGACCTGAGACTGGGACTGCGATTTGTCTTCCAACAAGACAATGATTCAAAACATAAAGCAAAATCTACAATGGAATGGTTCACAAATAAACATATCCAGGTGTTAGAATGGCCAAGTCAAAGTCCAGACCTGAATCCAATCGAGAATCTGTGGAAAGAACTGAAAACTGCTGTTCACAAATGCTCTCCATCCAACCTCACTGAGCTCGAGCTGTTTTGCAAGGAGGACTGGGCAAAAATTTCAGTCTCTCGATGTGCAAAACTGATAGAGACATACCCCAAGCGACTTACAGCTGTAATCGCAGCAAAAGGTGGCGCTACAAAGTATTAACTTAAGGGGGCTGAATAATTTTGCACGCCCAATTTTTCAGTTTTTTATTTGTTAAAAAAGTTTGAAATATCCAATAAATTTCGTTCCACTTCGTGATTGTGTCCCACTTGTTGTTGATTCTTCACAAAAAATTACAGTTTTATATCTTTGTTTGAAATCTGAAATGTGGCAAAAGGTCGCAAAGTTCAAGGGGGCCGAATACTTTCGCAAGGCACTGTAGTATAATCATAAAGTTTACTGATCCTTGGTGTAAAATTCACAAGTTACCCAGCAGTAATTCAAGTTATAAGCATAAGGTTGTTAAAATTAGCTCTGCCTGTACCAGCGAAAACATTAAATGTGATGTACACAATAATACAACACTAACTATAATTGAATATTATGATGTGCATCAATGTAAACTATGCCATTTTGCCTAATGAGTACTTTTACTTTTGGTACTGCTAATATTTTTGTACTTTTACTTAAGTAACATTTTGATTGCAAGGCTTTCAATTGTAACAGAGTATTTTTACACTGTGGTATTGCTACGTTTACTTAATTAAACAATACTTCTTCCAAAAAGTACTTCTTCCACCACTGTTCTCCAGGATAAATGTGAGGCACAAACACAGAAAATATCACTCCCCCTGTAATTTAAATGATGCCCTGCCTGAAAGTAATCATTTGTGAAAGACAACACTCTCCTGACAGTTTACAGCACAATTTCGAGGTGTACACCAACCAAATTCATTGTCAAAGGTTCTGTGTATAGAACAGAAATTAGTGCCGTCAGTTACAGCTGCAACTTGCAGGCAGCTGGTAGCGGAAGTAACTGGGGCTCCCTGTTTTCTCTGGATTTCCATTTCAGTTCAGCAGTGTGTCCCTGAGGGTTAGAGTGATAGCCACCTCTCACCTGATACCAGCAGTTTCTTACAATTACCTCATGCACTCCGTTGTTACACTGGTACATTTTAATGATGTGGCTGACAAATGGAGCACTCAGAGATGAGGGTCACTGAGGTAATTAAGACCTGCGGAGAGAGGCCGAGGTTGGCTGTGCTGTTGCAGATTAGCACCATGACTGGTCTTAAAAGTGAAAGCCACTGTTTAAACAAATGAGTTATGTCATCTTCCAATTAATAACTGTAGCTGTTCTCTGTACTGTTGCTCTGCATAATATTTTAGCACGCTACTGTTTATGTTGGACTCATGCAAGTGTTTATATGTTTGTGTTTAGCTTCAAGTAACCTCAGGAACTTCAGAGCTTAAGGCAAGGAAATTTTCTGCGCCTGAACTGTTGGCCAGGAAGGGGTGGGGGGTATCCACACTTGTTAGAGTCAAAATGTAAAGCTTGTCAGTATTAATGAATGTAAATGAAAAACAATGATAAATTGCTGCCTTAAAAACAATTAACATTTGCTGGTGCTTTATAATTGCTTTTGGTCAAATTATTTTTATTTTATATCATGAATGATATTTATATTCATTGATCCAGTTCTGTTGTTGAGTATTTGGCATGATTCGCCTCAGTGGGGGGGGAACAACTGCAGCAGCGATGTCCCCAGACAGGAGTAAATAAGGAGCACAGCCAAAGTTAGGCAAGGAAATCCGTCTTATTTTTACACATAATAAACTATTTGATTCTTAATACTGTATGGTTTATTATTTAATAAAACTACGATTTTAATTGACCCTTTACATGTATTTCAAATGTGCCACCCCTCTCTGAATCTGGTTAGGATAATGTTAGGGTTGAGGTTAGGTGTAAACATATCTCGATAGGGAAACAGATTTCGATAAAACAGCGGCACTGCTGGAGAACTTTAAACCCTGAGTAATGTTTTCAATCCAGACAGAGCAGCCACTGTTGCTGAGCAGCAATAAATACCCTAAATTATATCGTTATTAGGAGTGTGACGAGCTCTCGTCCCACAAGATCTCACAATAATAAAATGCAACAATACTCATCATTGAGGTGAAAAGCTGTCCTGTGACATCAGCATGTAACAGAACCAGAACAGCAGCCAGCATGATGGAGTGCGAGTGTGAAATTAGCAAAGGAGTTCAGTTAGAAAGTCACACACAGCTTGAATTAGAAGTTAAAAGCTCATGAATAGTTCATGCAGTTAAAAGGTCTGAAGAGACTCATGTGAAATCCCACAGGAGAGAAGCCAGTCAGTTGAGTCTGTGGCAAAGCCTTTTACAGTGCTTACATACATAGTCTTTTACTGCACATGATAATTCATACTCAAAGTAGAACTGAAGTGACATTCATTACAAGATGATTAGTTAAAACATTTCAAAATGCACCTGCATTGTCTTTGGGACTTTCAGTCGAATAAAAGACTTTGTCCAGTTATATATTTCGTCATTGAAGATTTCTTAAAATTGGTGTTACAATATTGTTTTGTTTCATTCTTGTGAACCCAGTATTGTGTATCATCTTGTCTCGTGGGCCAAATGTATTGTCACACCCCTACTCATTATATCATCTTTTCCCCTCTGAGACAACATTACCAGTGAGGTTTGGAGACAATGATGGGTTTGCTCGGATTACTTTGAATTTTGACATCTATCATTATGCTGAAACACAAAGACCCACATAATAAACCTGGTGTCATCTTATGTTATTAAAGCACTCACTAGGCTGCAGAGTCATTGAGCTGGTACTCTCGGGCACGTGTGAAGCAACTCTGGACTCCACCGTCGGCCCAGAGTCGTTGGATGACATTGGCCAGGTCCTCTGGCAAGAGTCCCTGCTCCTCTGCTGCTGCTGACAGGGCAAACAGTTGGCGGGCATCATCCTGACAAATAAAGACAAGGACAAACACCGTTGGATACAGCAGGTCTCTTAAAAATGAAGAAACATTTCCTCAATAAGCAAAGCTAATGAGCAGGACACTGCACAGCTTTTTTTTTTTTTTTTTTTTCTGCTATTGTGTATTTGTTGCTATGCTTATCTGGCCACCAAGGACCAGTAATGGTGGCGATGAATAAACTTTTTATTGCAAAGTGTAAAATACAAAGTTCAGAACAGCAGCAAAAAGAAAATTTAATTAATACTATATTGTAAGTTTTTTCAGTTTAGTAAATTACTGATAATATTCTCCTTTACTGTGTTTGGCCAATATAATTCAGATGATATCTATGGTGCCTGGTTGTCAGCAACATAACTTAGCTTACAGTTGTTGTGGGTATCCAGCGTGTGCTTCTTAAAAACCACTACCTTGATGTAATCTGAAGTTCCTGTAGCTGTGTGCACTCCACCCAAGCCTGATATGACGTGTTTTAACAGCACACTCTGATTGATTTTTCCATTATCGCTAACGACTTCACTCATAAAAATTTAAACACTGTTATGGTGAAATTCAACAAGCACACCAACTTTGCTATAAGAGGAGAAAAAACGCTGGCTCTTGTTTATGTACAGTGGGTACAGAAAGTATTCAGACCCCCTTGAATTTTTCACTCTTTGTTATATTGCAGCCATATGCTAAAATCATTTAAGTTCATTTTTTCCTCATTAATGTACACACAGCACCCCATATTGACAGAAAAACACAGAATTTTTGACATTTTTGCAGATTTATTAAAAAAGAAAAACTGAAATATCACATGGTCATAAGTATTCAGACCCTTTGCTGTGACACTCATATATTTAACTTAGGCTCTGTCCATTTCATCTGATCATCCCTGAGATGGTTCTACTCCTTCATTTGAGTCCAGCTGTGTTTGATTATACTGATT